AGATTAATTAAAACAGTGGCTACAACAATGGGCTCAAAGATGTCAACACGTGTAATGATGACACAGGACCAGGCAGGATTTCACTCTTTTATAGATTGGAACCAACACTACAGCACCTCACAATAATAATAACAATACTCATTAAAAATGTTCTGTTATATCCCTCATACAAAGTTGTGACCAGCATTGTTGTTGTTGTTAAAGGCCGTGGAGTTGGTTACAACTCATAGCGACCCTGTACAGGGTTTCTGAGGCTGTAACTCTTTACAGGAGCAGAACACCTCATCTTTCTCCCGCAGAACAGCTAGTAATTTCGAAATGCTGAATTTACAGTTCGCAGCAGCCTGACTCCTAACCACAACGCGACCTGCATATAACACCAATATAAATTCTTTTGTTTGTGTCAGTTTGTGTTGCAGATAAAATCCATAAGTGGCTTTTGTTTCTATCTGGTTGTTGTTGTTAAGTGTCATCAAGTCCCTTTCAACTCGTAGTAACCCTGTATAGGATTCCCACAGGATGACTAGCGAGCAGAACTGCCAACCTTGCAGTTCAGTCGGCTTTACAGTCTGGCGCATTAACCCACAAGGCCACACCAGGGTGTCTCTGTAGTTGTTGTTTTTGTTGTGAAGTGCCTTCGAGTTGGTGCCAACCCATAGTGACCCTGTATAAGCTTTCCAAGGAGTGGCTGGTGACCTTGAACTGCCGACCTTGCAGTCCAAATGGCTTTGCAGTCTGGCTCATTAACCCACAGTACCACACGGTCTCTGTAGTAGTGGAAACTTAATAATCACTCCAAATTTATAGCATACACTCATCCCCAGTTGAAAGCATTCATACATAGAAATGTTTAGTTAAATTGTGTCTAAGAGATGGACTTCTCAGATCCCCTCCATGAAAAGATTTGCTGCCTAGTTGCAAAGACTATAGTTAGTTGACTAAATGAAAATATATATAAGACATGAAGAGACAGAATACAGTCAAAGTACTTACTAATGGCTGATTAATATCTGATTAAAAAAAAATATTATACAGCATATGGATATTACGTACATTGATTTCAAACCCCTTATTATAAAATTTCTTTTTCTGAAAATCTAATCTCTTCTGAACATGAACTTCTCTAATTTTTGGAAGATATAATGGATCAGTGAAAACAAGGATAACTCTTCATAAAAGGGACTGTAACACTTAACAAGGATTATGAGAATGGCC